ATTATTTTGGTGTTTTTTTGTGAACATTTTGACCTTTGATCGGCCACAGCTCGGGCGGTATTCGCGTCAGGGGGTTGATCGTCACACCCCCGGATAGGGAATTTAGTGCCGAATCGATGTCAGGGGCTAAATCAGTTAACCTCACGAAAAACTCGTGAGCTACGGCCGGATAACCAGGACAAAATGAGATTCCGTCCTGGGGTAGTTTTTTTTTCGGTTTTCCGGCCCAAGCTTCGCGGTTTTCCATGAGGTTAGCCGATTTAGCACTTTGTATCCGTGGAGGACAATTATGCGCATCCGTCGGTTTTGGTTTCGAAGCGCTAAGTCAATCGGCTGAGTAGTGGGGGCCGTCCGAATGTCGGAAAATTAGGTATTGTTTCATCATTTTTACAGTTTTTCCGCACTAGCTCCTCGGTTTTCCGTTAGGTTAGTGGTTTTAGGCATCGTATATGTTAGGGAGAGTGACGCTCTATCGATTGGCATTGGTTTTGGTTCCTGCAATTTAATGGTTCATGGGTTATGATTTTTTAAAAATCGCTGTATCCCCCCATAGTCGGGATGGGAAAAGGACAATAAGACCTTTTTTCAACCTGTCGTCTTATTGCCTCAATACGATGTTTTCTCAAAATGCAATTTTCTTAACCCTGTGACCCACTTGGGGAGGTGTTGCACAGCAAGTCGGGGGATATTTTCGATTTGCGGAGCGGAGCGACGGCGCCGAGGAGCGTAGCGACGAGTGCTGCTAGCATGGCATCACTGTACGATGTTTTTAAAATACGAGTTCTTATTGTCACCTTGCCAGTCGGGATACTCTTGGTCATGGTTAGGTTAGGTTATAGGCAGTGTCCGTGGAACTTTGCATCGAAACCGGTGCCAAAACCCGCCACTGGTAGTAGAGCAACACATATCTGAACACAGGTACCGGCGACACATTTCCGGCCAAATGGGGGGGTTTTTTTGGGGGCTTTCGCGCGAAACCGATTTTTCGTGCCAACACTATGATTGGACTTTTTCGGCGCTCCTGAACCACGCCGAAAGCCGTTGGTCCGGACGCTTAGTTCCGGCCGGCCGAGGAGCTAAGATTTTTTGAAATATCTGGGGGGGGGTAGGTTTTTCGAAAAAAGGGCGGGGGTCGGCGATTTGAACGTGGGTCTCGGGGGTTTTCGTCGTGCCCGTCATTTTTGGCTCTCGGTCCCACACCTCCCGGACGCACGGTTACCGAGATACGGGGCCGGCAAAAGCGCCCGAAAGTTGTCTACCGGACCATGGGTAGGGGTACGTGGTGAAAACGTTTTGGGAAAAAAATAAATTCGTTTTCTCGCCCCCACACTATGAGTGGACTTTTTCGGCGCGCCCGAGCAACGGCAGTCTGCACCGGTCCGGTCTGTTAGCTCCGGACGGCAGAGGATCTACGATTTATTGAAATTTCGGGGAGGGCGATTTTGTGTGTATCCGGTGCCAATTTACACTTTTGTCATATTATTGTACATTTTTCGTGAACTTTTACATTTGGTTAGGTTAGGTTAGGTTATGGGGTATGCGGACGGAGGTTAGGTCTGATTTTTGGATATGTTATAGAGGACAGGCAGACGAATCGCCTCACGTTGGCAGATTCATTTAATCTCAAATAGTTCCAGATATATGGCCCTCCAGAGTTGAATACTCTGCATAAAAACGTATTGTTTTCATGTTTTTTCGACTAAACTTTACCTTCGATCGGTCGTTGCTCGGTCGCTTTTTACATTAGCGTTCCAGTTCTTGCGGCGTTGCATTCAGAAACTATCAAGCCGTCTTTTGAGATCGGTTTCGTAGTTGACCTCTTGTAAAGTTCGGATCTAGGTCATGGGAACTTAAAAAAAGTGGATTTTTGTCGAAAAGTCTTTTTTTCTAGTTTTTTCGCCCTGGTTCCGGTGT